CTCTATCCTTCTATGGGATGTCAAAACAGGATAATAACAAGTCTAATTGGATGGTCATGAGCATTGGGTAGTATCAGCCTGTTTCTCTCCAGATGGAAATACATTAGCTTCTGGTAGTTATGACAATTCTATTCGTCTATGGGATGTCAAAACAGGATAATAAAAAGTAAAATTGGATGGTCATGCTGATTATATCTACTCAGTCTGCTTTTCTCCTGATGGAAATACTTTAGCTTCTTGTAGTGATGATTACTCTATCCGTCTATGGGATGTAAAAACAGGATAATAAAAAGCCAAATTTGATGGTCATACTAACACTGTCTACTCAGTCTGTTTCTCTCCTAATGGGAATACTTTAGCATCTTGTAGTTAAGACAACTCTATCCGTTTATGGGATGCCAAAACAGGAGAATAAAAAGCCAAATTAGATGGTCATACTAACACTGTCTACTCAGTCTGTTTCTCTCCTAATGGGAATACTTTAGCATCTTGTAGTTAAGACAACTCTATCCGTTTATGGGATGCCAAAACAGGATAATAAAAAGTAAAATTGGATGGTCATGCTGATTATATCTACTCAGTCTGCTTTTCTCCTGATGGAAATACTTTAGCTTCTTGTAGTGATGATTACTCTATCCGTCTATGGGATGTAAAAACAGGATAATAAAAAGCCAAATTTGATGGTCATGGTGGTTGTGTCATCGCAGTCTGCTTCTCACCTGATGGGTAAACATTAGTATCTGGTAGTTAAGATAACTCTATCCGTCTATGGGATGTCAAAACAGGATAATAAAAAGCAAAATTAGATGGTCATGATGATAGAGTTTGGTCAGTTTGTTTCTCACCTGATGGATATATATTAGCATCTGGAAGTAGTGATAAGTCTATCCGTCTATGGGATGTCAAATCAGGATAATAAAAAGACAAATTTGATGGTCGTTGTGGTTGTGTCATAGCAGTCTGTTTCTCACCTGACGGGTAAACATTAGCATCTGGTAGTTAAGATAACTCTATCTGTCTATGGGATGTCAAAACAGGAAAATAAAAAGCAAAATTAGATGGTCATGATGGTAATGTCAGTTCAGTATTTTTCTCACATGATGGAAATACATTAGCTTCTGGTAGTAGTGATAAATCTATCCGCTTATGGGATGTTCAAACAGGATAATAAAAATCCAAATTGGATGGTTATAGTGATACTGTTACATCAATCATTTTCTCTCCAGATGGAAATACATTAGCATTACGCAGCAGTGATAATAACTCTCTCCAATTATGGGATATTTTAAATGGAAAAGAAATTTTATTAGCTGACAAAACTTATAAAGATATTCTTGCTTAATATAAAGCACCACTATTTGAAAACATACTATCATGTATTAATTTTATTATTATTTAATAGTATCCAACAATATTACAATTCTACAAATATCTCAAACATAATTAGTTTAAGCATAAGGAGCTTTAATTTTGAAAGGAGATTTTCTAAATTATGAGGGATACGATTTAAAATCATTATTCAAATCAAAAGGATGTTATTCTTTCGGAAGCTTTTGTTAAAAGTGAATTTAATAATTGTAAACAACTATTATTATCAAGTTTTAATATTTTTTAATTATGTCTTAATTGTTCAGCATTCATCTTCGCTTCATGAGATAGGTAAGTAAATGTTGTTCCAAAGTTTTATTCCAATTTAGTTAAATTTAAACCTCCTTTACTTAAATTAGAGAAAATCTATGGACAGTCTAATGTAGGGTATAATCATTGAGACTTTATAAAAACTGTTATGAATTAATATATATAGAAACTTAAATTTACAAATTATATAAACTAATTAAAAAGAGAATTTTTTAAGCAGATTGAAGAAAAAAAAAAGAAATTAATGATTGGTATAGTTTTAGATATCCATAATTGATATTGGGAAAATACTTTAATTTTTCATCTATATTAATTAATTAGCCCCCCTAAAATTTGATAAGAAATCTATAGAACAAAATATATATAAAAAGCAAGAAATCAATGATATATAGTATTATGAATTTGTGTGTTCATATTCACAAAATTGTAATTCATCAAATCTTCAATAATGAGTATTTTTTCATCATCTTTAATAATTAAGGTATATAAATATATTTTAATTCTTAATTAAAAGAAATTGAATTTAGCAAAACAAATTAGTATTATCTAATAATCCTTAATTTCCTCAATTCCAAAAATTTAGAAAATTTCTGTCTTGGAGTAAATTAGCCTTTGAATTGACAAACTTCTGATATCTTTTCTAAGTTCATAAAATCATCATCATTAAAACATAATTTTCTGCATCTCCTCACTGATGTAAGACTATAATTAATTTATTAATTACCCATAGTTCTTGCAAGGTTAGTTGAATATTTATTTTAATCATGTAAATAACGCAACTATTTAAGATTTTCCTAATTTTCTCTGCTTTTCTATTTACTTCATATGGTATTAATTTATAAACTCTTATAAAAATCATAATTTGTAAGATTGAATTCTTTTAATTCATCGATAGCTGCTTTAATTATTTCATTTAGAATAACAACTTTTCTAATGATTTTATAATAGCACACTTTAAATTTTAAATTTCACTAGATATTTCGTTATTTATGTCGAATCAAATTTTAGAAGCTCGATTTGTTTTAATTTATCCTTTTCTCCAGGATATCATCGAATTCTTTCTTTTTTAACATCTCTTTGCATTATTTCTATTAAAGCTCATCAAAATCATACTCATATTGATGAAGTGTTTCCTCTACTTCTTAAAACTCTTTAAAACACAGGATTTTTTAAAGAAGGTTATGAAATATAAATAGGTATTAAGATTTCATGACTGATTTTTTCATTAGTAAATTCTTCTATCTTAACCGCCGTACTTTTACCTGATCCAGCTAACCCATTAATTAATAATACTGTTTTTTTATCATCTAATAAAACTCATTAACTTTTCCATTTTTATCTTATAAATTTTCAAAATTCATCAAAATACTTGTCTTCTCTTCATTCATTTCTTTTTCTTTGCTTTTTGAATAATTTCCTTCTTCATGCCCTTCCTCATATTCTTCTTGATTTACTTCCTCATCTACTTGTAAATGTCCTTCCTCATCTCCTTCTTCATGCCCTTTCTCATCATCTCCTTCTTAATATCTTTCCTCATCTCCTTCTTGATGTCCTTTTTTATATCCCTCTTGATCATTTATTTGGAATTTCTTTTCCATTTTTACTAATTTATGAAATATCTCCAAAGTTTTAAATGGCATATAAATACATCTAACATTGTTATTTTTTCTTTTTTCAATACTTTCCATTTTCTAATATAAACAAGCTCCTCAACAGATTAACCTCGAAGAAACTTATCATTACCCAAACTGTTTAGGTATTTCTTCATCTAATTTATTTTTGCCATAACTCTTTTCAAACCTTTTCTGATATGATTAACGAAGACGGTTATCAATTTAAGTTATTATCCCGTTTAACTGATATTTTGAATATATTCCTCTAATTGTTCAGTTGTTTCATCCATTTCTTTTAATTATAGCTCTCTTTTATTGAGATTTACTTCTTGGGCAATTTATCTGCAATTCTATCATGTTAAGTCGACCAATTTTTCGACAAAATTTACATCTATAAACCTATTAAGTTTTAATTTTTTAATACATTTCTAACTCTTTATTCTTTATCTAAAACCTATAATTAAATTCAAATTATTAAAAAAATTACATAATTTATCTATGAAGCAATTAGATGAAATCTAAATCATCGTAAATCTGCACCTTATTTAATTTCCCATTCGTGATTAGTTTTATAATCTTTATACTTTTGATTCAAA